CGACTTCCCAACAGCCATTAAATATCGTGTTGCTCCCACTACAGATATCCTTATGTATATACCTAATTTTATCCTATACTTTCTACAACATCCTAGTCCGGACAACGCTGACAAAGTCTAGTCAGGTCATGACAAGTACTCATTTATAGCCAAAATATTGCTGTGAGGGATGGCACTAATAAATTGTTGAACCCTTTTCGAGGAGACATGCAGGACTGTTCTTTTCACTTTTTTAGATACTGTTTCTTTTTTTCTGTTCCTGAGTAATTACATTCACTGTAGTGTGTTTGGTGAATTCTGGAGCTGTCTTTCTCTTATTGAAGTAACACTGGAATTACTTTTCTCTCCAGCTAAATGGTCACATCTTCAATTACCTTTATAATTTTCCATGCAGATGGTCTAATCTTCTCCAAAAAGGAGACAATCTTTATTTAAAGGAACACAATTAGGTAAGGAACACAAACATGTATTCCTGAACTTATATTGTTAAAACACCATCCAGTCCCCATGGTCCCCCTAAATATAGTATAATTTTACCTTTATTCCAGTCTGCTGCTGCTGGCTCTACTCCAGCTTTCCAACTAAAGTGGTAGAAGTTAACAAAGTGAGGGAGTTTAAGCACATGTGGGCTATGCACAACACTATCCTAAACTTAAGATAAGGCCAGAGACTAATTAAAGTATTTATAAAATTGGGCAGACTAGATGGACCAAACAGTTCTTATCAGCCGTCACATACTATGTTTCTATGCTTGGCTGACATCATCAGAAGTGATTCTCTCAGCCAACCACAATGCTTTCACATTTGATTGGCAGAGCTTGTCACTGAGGCAGATCAGGGGAAGAGCCAGCACAAGCCAAACACAGCCCTGGCCAATCAGCATCTCCTCATTGAGATGCATTGAATCAGTGCACCTCTATGAGGAAAGTTCAGTGTCTCCATACAGAAGGTGGAGACACTGAATTGCAGCACTGACCCAGGATGCACCTCTACTAGCCATATGAGGAGTGGCCAGTGGAGTTATCACTAGGCTGTAATGTAAACATTGCCTTTTCACTGAAAAAACAGGGTTTACTGCAAATAGCCTGAAGGGACTGACTATACTCACCAGAACAAATAGAAGTAGAAAAGCTACAATTTCTGGGGAAATTGTGTGAAGTGTTCTTGCCTCCACCAGTAGTCTACAACTGGAGTGGGCGGAGTAACTTCAGCAAGGGAAATCAGGTTTTTGAATGTGTTAAATTACACCTTTATGTCACAACTGGTACAAGCACCAACTAGAAAGGATGCTTGTCTAAATCTCATTATAACAAACAATGTTGATTTTTTAACCAACATTCAAGTAGGGGAGCATTTGGGAAATAGTTATCCCAATATGGTCATTTTAGAATTAAACTCACAAAAGCAAAAGCACGTGGGGTATACTAAAACATATAATTTAAAAAAAGCCAATTTCAATAAGATTAGGGAAGTTCTACAACATATCGACTGGCATAAACTCCTTAGTGATAAAAACACTGAGGATAAATGGAAACTATTCAAACAAATACTAGAAAGGTACATTTCTCAGTGTGTACCATTGGGTAATAAATATAAAAGAAACAACTTAAAACCAGTGTGACTTAGTAGAGAAGTAAAACAAGAGATTCAAAATAAGAAAAGGGCTTTTAAAGCATTTAAATCAGACAAATCAGAGGCATCCTGTATATAAGATATAAGGAAGCCAATAATGCTTGCAAAAAGGCAATTAAAGTTGCTAAACTAGAAAATGAGAAATTGATAGCCAAAGAATACAAAAACAACCCCAAAAAGTTTTTCAAGTACATCAATTCTAAAAAAAAAAAAAAAAATGAAAGTGTTAGCTAATGAAGACCAGGAAAAAGCAGAAATTTTTAATAACTATTTTTCTTCAGTATATATTAATGAGGAGACAATGGACAACTAGAGACAAGGTGCTACAGCTATTAAAGAAAATTAATGTAAATAAAGCTCTGGGGCCTGACGGTATTCACCCACGAGTACTGAAGGAGCTAAGTGGGGAAATAAGTGAACCTCTGTATTCACTTTTTCAAGATTCTTTTGTTTCAGGTATTGTACCGGAGGATTGGAGGATGGCAGATGTTGTTCCTATATTTAAAAAGGGTTCAAAATCCTTGCCTGGAAATTATAGACCTGTGAGCTCAACTTATGTGACTGGGAAAATATTTGAAGGGCTATTAAGGGATTATATTCAGGAATTTATGGGGAAGAACTTTGTTATTAGCAATAATCAGCATGGTTTTATGAAACATAGGTCATGTCAAACTAACCTAATTGCATTCTACGAAGAAGTAAGTAGAAGTATAGATCAGGGTGTTGCAGTGGATGTGATCTACTTGGATTTTGCCAAGGCATTTGATACAGTTCCTCACAATAGGTTAGTCTTCAAACTAAAAGAAATTGGTCTAGATGAATATTTTTGTTCTTGGGTAGAACATTGGCTTAAGGATATAATATACCGAGTTGTCATTAATGGTAAATTTTTAGGCTGGACACAAGTGGTAAGTGTTGTCCCTCAGGGTTCTGTTTTGGGACCACTTCTATTTAACATATTTATAAATAATCTTGAAATTGGCATTGAAAGTAATGTATCAGTGTTTGCAGATGACACAAAACTTTGTAAAGTAATAAAATGTGAGCAGGATATTGCTTTGCTGCAGAGGGATTTGGATAGATTGGGGGACTGGGCACATAAATGGCAGATGAAATTTAGCGTAGAGAAATGCAAACTTATGCACTTTGGGGTTACGAATGCACAAGCAATTTACAACCTAAATTGTAGTGAACTAGGGATAACCACACACAAGAATGATTTGGGAATTGTTATAGAAAACAAATTAGGCAGCAACATGCAATGTCAATCTGCAGTTACTAAGGCCAGTAAGATTTTGTCATGTATAAATAGGGGCATAAATTCTCAGGATGAAAATATAATTTTGCCTCTTTATAAATCGCTGGTAAGACCACACCTTGAATATGCTGTGCAATTTTGGGCACCTATTCTAAAGAAAGATATCATGGCACTGGAGAGGGTCCGGAGACGAGCTACAAAATTGATAAAAAGAATGGAGCATTTTAGTTACGAAAAAAGATTAAAAAATTTAAATCTGTTTAGTTTGGAAAAAAACCGCCTGAGAGGGGATATGATAACATAATACAAATATATTCGAAAACAGTACAAACCTTTATCTGGAAATCTATTCATAAACAGGGCTAAACATAGGACACGAGGTCACATATTTAGGCTGGAAGAAAGGAGATTTAATCTAAGACAAAGAAAAGTTTTCTTTACAGTAAGAACAATAAGGATATGGAATTCTCTGCCTGAAGAGGTGGTTTTGTCAGAGTCTATACAGATGTTTAAACTGCAATTGGATAAATACAGTTGCAAGGAAAAGTATGTGAACCCTTTGGAATGATCTGGATTTCTGCACAAATTGGTCACAAAATGTGATCTGATCATCATCTAAGTCACAACAATAGACAATCACAGTCTGCTTAAACTAATAACACACAAAGAATGAAATGTTGCCATGTTTTTATTGAACACACCATGTAAACATTCACAGTGCAGGTATGTGAACCCTTGGATTTAATAACTGGTTGAACCTCCTTTGGCAGCAATAACTTCAACCAAACGTTTCTTGTAGTTGCAGATCAGACGTGCACAACAGTCAGGAGTAATTCTTGACCATTCCTCTTTACAGAACTGTTTTAATTCAGCAATATTCTTGGGATGTTTAAGCCATTCTGTTGTTAATTTGTTGATTTACTTCTATGCTTTTGGTCATTTCTAGTGGCAGCAGGGATAGCTGAACGTTTTGATATAAGATTTGTGTAGGTGGGCTTGAAAATGAGGGAGTGGTGGCAGTTTAGAAATCATGTCCTGATTTTTCAGCTTTTGTCAGCTCCCACTCTAGTTTTGAACATTTCACCATTCATTCCTATGGGAACAATTTCGCCACAAGAACGACGATATTCCGTGAACCATTCAGCGAAACGTTCCACAAAGTAATAGCAAACAAATCGTGAACAACCCGCACGTTTCGGTATATTACTGTCTATGTAGTGTAAAAACTGTGGGATGAGTTAGGGTGGTAAATTTGGCTATAATAAGAATAATATATATGTGAGATACCATTAAAGGACCACTCTAGGCACCCAGACCACTTCAGCATAATGAAGTGGTCTGGGTGCCAGGTCCTTCTAGGGTTAACCCATTTTTTCATAATTCTAGCAGTTTCAGAGAAACTGCTATAATTATGAATGGGTTAAGCCTTCCCCCTAATCCTCTAGTGGCTGTCTCATTGACAGCCACTAGAGGCGCTTGCGTGCTTCTCACTGTGATTTTCACAGTGAGAGCACGCTAGCGTCCATAGGAAAGCATTGTAAATGCTTTCCTATGAGACCGGCTGAATGCGCGCGCAGCTCTTGCCGCGCGTGCGCATTCAGCCGGCAGGGCGTAACGGAGGCGGAGAGGAGGAGGAGAGCTCTCCGCCCAGCGCTGGAAAAAGGTAAGTTATTACCCCTTTCCCCCTTCCAGAGCCGGGCGGGAGGGAGTCCCTGAGGGTGGGGGCACCCTCAGGGCACTATAGTGCCAGGAAAACGAGTATGTTTTCCTGGCACTATAGTGGTCCTTTAAGTGGTCTTGCTATGCAACAACACTTAATAACTAGAAAAGCTACAATTTCTGGGGAAATTGTGTGAAGTGTTCTTGCCTCCACCAGTAGTCTGCAACTGGAGTGGGCGGAGTAGCTGTTATCATTTATATAGCACATTTAATTGCAACGTTGTTGCACAGTTACATTAAACCATACATTTATAAAAACATTAGCAGGTGTTCAAAAGACCCTGTCTATGACATCACTTGCTGCTGCAGCCTGGCACAGGTCAGAGTATTTTGGTGGTTGCCATCTTCAAACGGTCGTATTTTAAAAACTATAAATCCTACAGCGAAGAGCTTTATATTGTGAGAACCACAAGACCCAGACCTACATTGTGATGTATAGTATGTCTCTGAAGTATTAAAAATGAAGGCACAGTCGCAGTTTAGAAATTGCACTTCAAATTTGAGCTTTGTAGAGTGAAGTTTCAATGAATGTCAATGGACGGCGTTAGTTGCAAACAAATGATTATATTGTGAAAACTATCAGGATTATGGCTTAGCCATTGACATGTTTAGTGGCAGCAGGGATAGCTGAACGTTTTGATATAAGATTTGTGTAGGTGGGTCTGAAAATAAGGGAGTGGTGGCAGTTTAGAAATCATGTTCTGATTTTTCAGCTTTTGCCAGCTCCCACTCTAGCTTTGCCATTCATTCCTATGGGACAAATTTCGCCACAAGAACGACGATATTCCGTGAACCATTCAGCGAAACGTTCCACAAAGTAATAGAAATCCGATCGGGAACAATCTGCACGTTTTGGTAAATTTTTGTCTTGCTATGCAAGAACACTTAATAACACCCACAGGACTCCAATGATACAGGACTGAATGTGGTGTGTATAGTGGAAATGAATTACAATGTGTGTAATGGTTGTAGTGTTTGTGTGTATTAGATACTGTTTGTGCAGTGAATACAGAGTGTGTGTTTGTGTAGCAGATGCAGTGTGTATAGTGAACGCAGAGTGTGTTTGAGTAGTGGATGTAGTGTGTGTACAGTGATGTAGTGTGTGTTTGTGTTTGTGTAGTGGATGTAGTGTTTGTGTGTGCTAGATGCAATGTGTTTAGTGGATGCAGTGTCTGTAGTGGATGTAGTGTATGTATTAGACGCAGTGTCTCTGTTTAGTGAATGCAGAGTGTTTGAATGTGTGGTGGATGTAGTGTGTGTACTGTGAATACAGGATGTTTGTGTAGTGGATGCTGTGTGTTTAGTTAATGCAGAGTGTATGTTAGTGTAGTGAATGCAGAGTGTGTGTCAGTGTAGTTAATGCAGAGTGTGTGTTAGTGTAGTGAATGCATAGTATATGTCAGCGTAGTAAATGCAGAGTGTGTGCATAGTGTAGTACATGCAGATAGTGTGTTAGTGTGTAATGAATGCAGTGTGTGTTAGTGTAGTGAATGCAGAGTGTGTGTTGCCCAATAACTCCAGCGAGTTACCAACTACAAGCATGCCGGAGGCCCCTGGCACACTCATACCTAAAGGGGTGAAACCACTTGAAATAAGAATGCGTCTAGGGGCTTCCTGGCACCATATGGCACAATTTTGATTATGTGTTTATGGTGCCTTGAGTGTTCCTTTAATAGCAACCATGTGTACAGTGTAATGCCATACACTGGCCAATCATAGAGTAAAGTACGCTCACGGGGATCCCTTACAGGCACATTGTGGTTAGAAACAGCTTACAAACCATGTTTTTGTGTTTTACCAATGAGCAACACATCTACAAGTGGTTGGTATCACGGCAAGCAGACATTACTAATGGACAGCCAGAAAAAATTGCAACAAGTTTTTAAGCCAGTTATTAATTAGTAGCTGCTACTAACTACCTGCCTTTAATAGTGACAGATTATAGTAACTAAACTCAAGAGGCAGCAATTAATCAGATCACCTGTCTTGCAAAGACTTTTCATTGAGCTGTTTTGGAAAGTCTATGATTAGACAGCCCATAATGTCTGGGTGGGGATAGAAGGGGAGGGCTTCCATAGGCAGTGGACAGATAACTGTAGTTTTTGCAAACTGTTTTTAGATATATCCCCAATGAAAAAATGCATGATAAAATATATACAATTTTTAATTTGGGGTATATCTAACAGTGAATTTTGTATTCGGGCAGGGGATGTCCTTTTAAGGTATCTGATGAGGTCACAGCATTGTGGTGATGTCATTGACAGTTTAGGCTATATATATCTGCTGTCCAGGACCTACCTTAACAGTTATTACTGTATAACCATGGCAGAAAGATTTCCAAGAGAGAAGAAGCAGATGTTTCCAACTCTTTCAAGAGAAACAACACATGGCAAGGTGAATGTGGTTATGTAATCACTAAATCCATGCACCCCCCCTGCCCGTTTGACCTTCTAACCCAGTTCCTTTCCTTCTTATGCCCAATGTATGGTGATAAGTATAATTATTAAGATCCATATGGACCCCCCATATAAGTATAATATTTTTGGTGACAAATTTGATGCCTCATCATCAGAAACAATAAAATGGAATGTGAATAATCATAGAAGGGATTACTTTACCTATATACACATGCATAAAATCGTTATGAAATGATTCTCTATTTCAGGCATCTTCCATTAGAGCCAGGCCAACACAAAGAAATACGTCTTCGGGGATCAAACTCCCACCATGTCCTAATAATCGGATTCCGATGCTTACCACAAATCCCTCGGAAAAGGTATACACTACATTTTAAATCCATAGTCTGATTCATATTAGGAAGGGGACATTTTACAGACACAGGCTGTAAACCTGAGATTTTGTTTTTACATCGTCATTTTCTTCATGCTTTTATTTTAGTTTATTGTGGATGTCATTTTCCAACAAAGTATAAATTATTAAAAAAGTCACATTAATATGTATATTACATATGTTCTGCAATCTACAATAACTGAATTTCTATTTGTTTAGGTGGATTTCATTAGAGCACCCCCAGCAGAACAATTTGTGAATGTTCCTTCTGGAGTAAAATTTCCAGTGTGTCCTAAACAGCCTGTTCAGTTCTGTACCACCAAGCTCTCGGAAAAGGTATTTAATAGTAATCCAGGCTAGTAAGCAGATATATTCAAGACAATTGAAATAGAGCCATGGATTGATATGAAGGGTTGTATATTTAATGCCAAACCATGGAAATGATCAATTAAAGTGAGCATTAAAAGATTTTATAAATTAGTATCTCACATCAATCATTAGTTCTATTGTAGATTATTAACTCTTCTACCATATAACAAAATAGCTGAAGTGGATAAGCATTAGTCTACTACGTTTAACCTACTGTGTTTAACCTTTCAAACAAACCCCAATTATTTTATATGTTGGTTGTTTTATGCTAATGAGTGTTCTTCAGAATAGGTTTACAGAATGAGTGCACAAATGTTTTATGTTATAATGTTTTTGCAGCTTTATAAGCAAAGTCCATCATTTGACCTTGAGGATCCATATTGTCGTTTGATGAAGACAACCTACAATAACCTGCATTAACCATACTTAAAAGAATATTACCAGAGTAAAGTACCTTATCAACGTATACGTCAGCAGGGATTTATCACAAGTGATGATAAGGTAGGATAAAAAAATAAAAACAAGCAACATGCCACTACCATTTAATTTTACACTAACATATTGCATACATAAATTTAACCGAATGACATTGAATTAAAAGAAAATGTCTTGTTTCGGTTGTTTGCTCTTTAAAAGAGTATAATGAGTACAGGGAGTACCTCTCAAGCATACATAGAAAGAAAATGAAAAACGTAAGTTGGATTCAGATTTATAGCAAAAACAGTCAACATAGTAGACAAAGTGTAATTTTCAGTGGGATGATATTTAGCTACTCAAATTAAACAAAATTTTTAAAAAGATGAATAAATAATAATAATCTGTTTGTTTTTTAGAAGTTGGACAAACAAGGTAGACAAAAGTCTTCTTCAAACCAATGATGCTCCAAGATAGTTAGAAACTTATTTCTTAATAAATGTTCATTCCTACTTGACGATTTTGCCACATGTGATTTCCTGCAAAACAGTCCGAACATATGAAAATATGTCATCATACGAACATGGGTTAAAATATGACATTTTATTTAAAGAAACACTCTAGCACTATAACAATTTTGTCTAATTGAATTGGTTGTAGTGTCTGCAATCCATGGCACCTATTCCATGGTTAATGTTAAATCACAAATAGTTTAACACCTAATGAGGGGCCTACTGCACATCCCTTGCTTGGAGTAGTTACACTCCAGCTTAGCTATACCAGTGTATAATAGCAATAGATGTCTGTGATACTCTGAGAGCCAGCAGGTGGCGTTCCTATCACTGCCAACTATTGCTGCTTGAACTAATGTTTAAGTATGAGCCTAAGCAGTAGAGAGGGGCTGGACAGCGGGCTTCCGGGGACCTTAATTCAGTGTTTAACAAATTGAAAACGATTCAGCGCCCAGGTACTCCAAGTACTTTATCTATTTTAATGAGATTAAGCGGTTTTAGTGCCTTCCTCCAGTGTTACTTTAACAAACAATATAAAAAATCATACAGATTGGCCTTTAATCAGATACAGTCCGAGGTGTTTGCCGGTACCATTATACAAAAGGCAAATAAGCACAAACTTCATATTTTAACTTATATAATCGGGCATTCATGCCATCAGGGATTCTTCAATTGTGGATTACTAAAAATGATTTGAAAATGATATTTGCTTTGTTTCTTGGTATTTGCGTGTTGTATCGTGTATTCCTGCAAAGCAATTCAAAGAAAAATACTGATGTTAATCTTGATTGCGCTAACTGATTGGGAGTAATGTCTAAACACTATACTATGAACTCTATCAATAACTAAACAGTAAAGACAAAAAGGAAATTGGGTGCACACCCAGAACATGAATTTCACAGGAATGGTGCTTCCATAGAGAGCAAAATATATACATCATACATAAGGTACAGGGCACACATACAAATCTTTTTTTTATTTTATAAGGCTATTTAAAATCACATATCTCAGCAAACAAATATAGGGATCCATGCCCACCATATGGCCATATTGTGTTAAGCCCACCACTACTTCACAGTATCCCAATATCGGTGGGTCCTTCACTAATTCCAGTGTAGGAGACAAATCAAAGAGTGCTAAGTACGTTGCAGTGTATTTTAATAATCTGTTGTAAAAGTTCTTACAATAAAAATGAAGAACAGAAATTGGTAACTGTAAAACTCATGAGTGGGGTGACCCCTGAGGAATAATATATACAAAAGTTCTTACAACAGATTATTAAAATACACTTTTCCTTATTTAGCACTCGCACTATTTCATTTTTCTCCCATGGTAGAATTAGTGTAGGACCCAGTGATATTGGAGTACTTTGAAGTGGTAGTGGGCTTAACACAATATGGCCATATATCTAAATATATCTAATCATCAACTTATCAAAAAGCATCCTATTTATCTAAATGTGTGTCAGCTTTTGGGCTATCCTATGAATATCTTTCTTTCTAAGATCTCATAATAAGTGCTAACCTAAAGGAAATATACCTCAAATGTGCATGTAATAAAAAACAAA